ATAAGTAAAAATATTTCATCAGAATTGTGTTGTTTCACCTTTTATATGAAACGGTAATTCCTTCCACCAAATCAGTTTAAATTGTCGCATAAATTAATTTCAAATTTAGCTAATATCTCAAATTCAACATGAATTAAAGTTAATCTCAAATTTTGTTCTGAAGTTATTATCTTTGTCCAACATACTAACAAGAGAGGGATATTGAAAACGCTTCTGAACTTGAAGGAAATTATTAGTTTCGTCCACGAAATATTGATAGCATTAAAAACACTCATTTACTTGACCAACTAAACTTAGATACACCCCCGATCTGCCACATGACATAGCAAGTGGTCTCAAAATGGAGCTCTTAATAAAAAGCCGAAAAAAGTGTTGACAACACCTTAAACTTGACGAGCATTTAGGAATTAGGGGTTTACTTCAATCATGTTGCAAGATTGAGGATGTATATTTTAAGTCCAGTTAGTTAAATAAATGACATTTTAAAGATAAATAATCTAAGAATAAAATTAATAATTCACGTTGAGTTTAGAGATATTTACGTTAATTCTCCCTATTAATAACAACTCTCATGATATCTATTATATTAATTTGAAATAGGTTAATTGGATAAGACAGATGAATCATCATCCTAGTGATAAGAGAATAATAGAAAAGATGAAAAGACAACTCATCAAACAATATTATTGAACTTGTAATGTGCTTTATGCTAATTGGTAGTTACAATATAATAAATTAATAAAATTAAACTTGAAAAGTTTTGGACATATATATTTTGAGTTTATATTCCTTTGAAGAACTTCATGGTGTCTTCCTTTTTCCTTTTGGCCCACACATCTCCATCATTAGGGCATCTCTCATCTCTCTCAATATTATATATCAACCACTAGCACTAATCCTATTATAAAACGAGTGTGGTAGAATGAATGAAATTAAAAAATCCACGAAAGAAAGTTAATGCGACATGTTCATGAGATTGTTGGAAAATATTTTCTTGATGTATGATGATTTTCATCAAATTGTTAGATAGTTTAGTAAGTAACGGAAAATATATAAAAAGAATTCGAAACTTGAGATATCAGAAAGTACAGAAACTATGAATGTGAAATACTAGATGATTAGAAAAAAAATAACACTTGCCCTACCTTTTCAATAATTTCACTTGCGTGTGGAATAATTCAATTTTTGAGTATTCAACTACTCTATTATATAAACAAGTCGACAAATGGATGCTTTAAGAACTAGCTATAAATTTTATTTTCTAGTAACATTTATTACACTTTGGTTGAAAATTTCCATGTACTATTTTCCTCATCCACCTTCGTATATTATGTATGTTATATTATTTATAATTATCTTTTGAATGATCTGATAATTAATATAAAAATTATTATTATACACTACCAATGTTTAGAAGTATAACTCCCAAATATAAGGACATCACCTTTTTTTTCCTTTATAATTTGCTTTGAATATCAAAATCTAAGATAAATTGGAATCGTTGTCTCTGATTGAGAATGTTCTACACACTAAAATAAGACTTCTGACATGAATTTTAACTAATCGAACTCCAAAAGAATATCGAACACGGCAAAATTACATTTGAGTCCTGTATATAAGAAAAGGAGAATTGGGAAAGGGACAAGACTTTCAGGGGTCGTTTGGTTAGGAACAAGTTATCCCAGGATTAGTTATCCTGGGGTTAGCTATCCTAGGATAACTTATTGTTATCTCCTATATTCAGGTAAGGAAAAACAGAAACAGAAAAAAGAAAAATGATGAAACAAACAGAAAATAAATAATCTGAGTCTACTGAACTCATTGTGTTTCCTTAAGAAATTTAATCCCCTCAAGTATCCGAGGTTGCAGATTAATTCCTCCCAAGATAAAACGGATTAACTATTAGAGAAGTAGCGGTACATCAAACTTCACTATTTTTTGTCCAAAAATATTATCAATCAATTATATCATTTGCCAAATCCAAATCCAAATCCAAAATCCCAAATTCCGAATCCGAACCGAGGTCAAGCGAGCAACGACAATGGCCGAAGCCGAATTCCAAATCCGAAATCCCGAATCCAAATCCAAAATCCAAAATCCCGAATCGAGGTCGAGCGACGCGAATTTTCAAATAATTCTGTTATGCGAAAGTAATTTTGTTAATTAATTAACATTCTAAATTAATTTATAAGAGAAAATGAAATTAATTAATGAGATTGATTAAATAATTTTTTGTCAAAAAATATTATCAATCAATCACATCATTTGCCAAATCCAAAATCCAAAATCCAAAATCTGAACCGAGGTCAAGCGAGCGATGAAGATGGCGCGATGGGCACCTTCTTCTTAACCCTTTAAGAGTTAAATGAAGTGTTTCATAATATAAGGACAACATTTTCTCTTTCTTCTACCAATATGAGAGAAATGACTTTTCATTTTCCCTCCAAATTGGTTCCCCCACATTTCCCAATTTCTCATTCTTATTTCCCATTCACACCTTGCTAAAACCCAACACTTATCTCACCATGTATATGGGATAACTTATCCCATCACTATGATATAAATGGTGGGATAAGTTATTCCAAATATGACAACCAAACAAGATATAAAAAATTTATCCCATCATTATTTATTTTTATCCCTCACACCAAACAACCCTTAGGGATTGATTTGACAATTGTTTGGTGATATTGAAAGGCAAAAATTAAACAAGATCCAAGAAAATTATTTCAAATCTCGAGTAGTAACCTTGAATTCTCAATTTGAATTATTATTATTTGTAATGTGAAGTAGAATATACTATGGTTGAAAAAGAATTCCCATTTTTGAGAAATTTCCAACTTGAGTTGTGTCCCCTCCCTACTTTCCTAGCTTGTTGCTTTTTGCTATTTACAAAATGGGTTGGCAATTTTGTAATGGTTTATTTATGATAAAAAGGTGAGTCAAAAAGTACCATTAATTTGATATAATAATATAATGGAGCAATTGCATTGTAGGTAGATTGAATATAGTGTCATGCTTGGTAAAAAATGTGAATAATTGAGTAACATAGAGTAAAATTTGGTTATTTGGCAAAATTAGTGGATATTTAGTATAAAAATATTATCAAAAGTTTTGTCTTTTCAACAAAAAATGTGAATAATTGAATAACACAAATAAGATTTATTATCAAGTAAGACTTTTTATCGATTCAATAATATCAAATTTTAAGAGTTCGGTAAAATTTTCTGAACAACTGAATAAGTATAATTTTTCAACTCACGATAGCCATGTTTCACTCATATAATTTAAAAATAGTTATCATTATAAAAATTAAAATTTCATTATAAAATTTCAACCTTCACGACAATAGCTTATTTTTAATTTTTGGAATCGAAAAAGGACTTATTTATGAATTTTAATATGTTTTGAGGGCTCTAGAGAGTAGTCATATTTTTACCACTAGGCTATGAAGTTTCCCTTAGAGAGTGATGAAAACATTCCTATCAGCTAATCTTATCATCAAATTTTTTATCTTATTATAAACTATATATTCACCAAAAAAGATACTATCTTAACAAATTCTTATTTTAAAATTACTTGAGCCACCTAATATTAAATAAATAACCAAAAAAAAATTGCATGGTAGACAATATTCTTGATTCTCCCACCTAAATTATCAAAAGACAAACTATACAAAGTGGCCTAAAACCTCTTTGCTTTTGGTCCATACTTTTGCATCTTCTTTTGCCTCTTTCTTTCATCTTAAGCAAACACCTCAAAAATCCATTAACTCAATTTCTACTTCATTCCTTAATAACCCTTTTTCCTTTTCATCCCCCCCCCCCCTCCTTCCTTTTTCCTTTCATTTTTTTCCTACAATCTTGAACCCCCCCCCCCCCC